CGCTTCCGTAACCACAGCGGGTGCAGTCTCGTTGTTGCCCCGGGGCGCTGCCAAGAGAGGTGCCCAAACCCCTCGCCGAGTCTGCCAGGCGTCCTGCAGCCCGGCCCCCACCCGCGGGGCTGCTGTGTGCCGGAGGGACACCTGGGGACGTCCCCGAAAGGATGCGCCCCTCATCCCACCGAGCAGAGGGTCGGAGCCATCCCGGGTGTCCACGCTCCAGCACGGCATGGCGGGGGCACGGTGCCTGATGGGGCCGGGGCTCGCAAACACGGGAGGGGGAAACGCAGAGGGAGGAAGGAGCGGCCCCCTCCAAAGGCATCAGCAGCTGGGGGCATCCGCACGGCTCTCCAGGCGTGGGCACGTCCACTGGACATGGGCAGGCCAGCACACGCATGCACACGTGTGTACACACACACATACAGACACACAGACACACGGACACAGACACACACACACACAGAGGACAGCACTTGCTCTGCCTCTGCACTGCGGGCTGACAGCCAGGAATCGCGGTGCCAGAGGAGAAAAGGTTTCTCACGCCTCCGCAAGCGGAGCTGAAGGGCAAATCGCTTTTGATGAGCCAAAACGTTCCAAATTTCCTCTCTCCCGGGAAGCAGGAGGAGGCCTCGCAATCCCCTAAACCCCAAAAAATGCCTCAGGGGAGAGAGCGCCCTTTCTCAGCCCCGCTGGGGCGACGCCACGAAGGGTTAAATATCCCCCTCCCTAAACAAGCAGAGACGCTGAAACCGCTGGGGAATTGGGACGGAAAGGGGCAAGAAAAGGCCTGTGTGGTGTGGGTGTGCGAGAAGGGCCCCTCCGGTACACGGGGGGCCCATCAGCGGCAGACCCCCCCTCCCCATGGCTGTGTACCCCCGGCCGGGGATGCTGGCGGGGGCCCGGGATGGAGCTGGGGGGCCGGGATGGAGCCGGGGAGGGTGCGCGGGGGGAGATTTTGCGGCGATGTTTAATATTCAGGTCACATGACAATGGCAGCAGGAGCAGCACCAGCATCCCCGCTCCGCTGAAATAGCCACCGGAGAAGGAGGGGAAGGAGAGGGGGGGAGAAGAGGACACAGGGAAGAAAGAGAGAGGTAAAAGCGGAGCCTCGTAGCCCACCGCACCGCGTCAGCATCAGGCTAGAAAAGTGGGGGGAGACCCACCCCCTTTGGAGAGGATTCGGAGACAAAGGAAGCTTCATGTTCAAAGGTAGGATGCTCCGGGCTTGGCAGGGCTGGGCAAGGCAGGAGGGACGCTGCTGGGGCTTTTCGCGGAGGCACCCTCCGCCGTGGGGAGGAATAACCCTGAAGGGCAGCAGGGAAAATCCCTCCTGGCTTTGTCTTTCCTCTCTTTGCTCCCTTCGGTGGCAGCAGCCTGGCGTGAAGGAGAGCGAGCGGGGCTGGTTGCGGTGCTGATGGGGAGTAGCTGGCGTCAGGGGCTGCTCTGAAAGAAAGAGATAATCCCAGCTGGTCCAGGGCTGGGGAAAGCCAAACAAGCTGCTCGGCGACTGGCTTGTCCCTCGCCAGTGACAGGCAGTGGCTGCGGGGGCAGCGGGGACGTCCTGTGCTGCTCCCTGGGCATCT